TACTGTGAGGTTGTGCACTATGCTGTCACCACAGCTCATATATATTTGCACCGAAGTGCCACGTAGAATTTGTCCTGAAGGACCGCGTAGAGATGCACCGAAGTGCCACGTAGAATTGTACCGTAGTGCCATATAATATGTCCCTAAGGACCACATAGAAATTCCTTAAGAATCATATACATATACCAAGGATCAAGTAAATGTCTCAAAAGACATCATACATGCTCCAAAGAATACATATACGTCTCGAAAGACCATGTAGAATTTTGTCCCAAAAGACCGCGTAGACCCTCTACTCTTGGCATGCCAACTATACCTATAGTTCTCATCTACATAACATGGGCTTTTACATTTCACGTAGTTTATATCGCGTAGACATGTAACTTCTTACCTTTATCACATAGGTCATATCATCTTTTCATGTAATCATATAACTCCATGTTGCATAACTGGTCTCACATTTTCATGTAATACATAAATCAGGTAAAACAATGCATATAACACACATAACATATGATCATAGTAATGTACACTTAGAAGTCATATTATTATTCATGTATCAAGATATAAAATCTAGACTTATCACAAGTCTAGACCTGAATTGTATTTCTATAATCATGATATGCATATGCACTCACCTAAATCTCTTTGCCTTTCCCTCGATCGATCTTACTTGTCCCTTGTTCCGGAACTCGTTTAGGCTCGATATCTACATGAACATAATTTTCGAGACAATTATCAAAATCCTAAACCTTGCAATTAACCTCTAACAGCTTAAACAAATTTAATGAACCAATTTTAATTTTTCCTTTAGGGGTAATCGATTCCCCCCAGGGGTATCGGTTCCCTCTGCAAAATCTGTAATCACTAAATTTTCTCATACAAAGTTCCTTTCATACTACCAAACTTAACTACAACCATTTTAACTAACTTCTATCATTTCAACACTTTATTATTTCCCATATTTTATTCAAATTCTTAAAACTAAGAATCATACCCAAATTTCAAACATTTATTAATCAATTCTAACACTCTATATTCCTTAATTAACCTCTTGACAAGTAAAAAATCTTATTCAAACCTCAAAAACTCATCCATATCAAAATTTCATCTAAAAACCCATTTTTCAAATATATCTCTAAAACATTTATCTTGTTGTTTTAATGTCATTTAAGCTTTCCTTTAGCTTATATAACATCCAAACTTCAATTTCCAAGCTAAAAATCAAAGAAACGACCAAGGTTTAGATTCTTACCATAAGCTTGGGTCTTCACGTTTAGAAGAAGAGAAGAGTGAAGAAGATAAGAAATCTGGAAACTTATCTCTTCAATTCATTCACATGGGTATTATAATACCCAAAATTTATTATTTTATTCCTTTATTTGTTCAATAACCCTTTTACCCTCTTATTTCTCCTTCACTTATTAATCAATCCTACACCAAAATCTTTCAATTAATTTCTTCACTTTTCAATTTATTTAGTTTGGTCATTGAATAAAAAAAATATCTTACACTTAAATCACTAACCCGGTATTGAGGATGTTACATAACCGTTCATCTAACTGGCATAATTGACACCTTTCTGCCAAATGCACAACTAGACCATTAATATTTTACTCAACAGTATTTAACCGTTCTTCTAACTGGCATAATGACACCTTTCTACCGAATGCACAGCTAGGCCATTAATCTTTTACTCAACGATATTTAACCATTCATCTAACTGGCATAATTGACACATTTATGCCAAATGCACATCTCAGCCATTAATCTTTTACTCAACGGTATTTAACCGTTCATCTAACTGGCATAATTGACACATTTTATGCCAAATGCACAACTAGGCCATTAATCTTTTACTCAACGGTATTTAACCGTTCATCTTTATGCCAAATGCATAGCTAGGCCATTAACCTTTTACTCAACGGTATTTAACCATTCATCTAACTGGCATAATTGACACCTTTCTTCCAAATACACAGCTAGGCCATTAATCTTTTACTCAATGGTATTTAACTGTTCATCTAATTGGCATAATTGACACCTTTCTGCCAAATGCACAACTAGGCCATTAATCTTTTACTACGGTATTTAATCGTTCATCTAACTAGAATAATTGACACCTTTCTGCCAAATGCAGAGCTAGGCCATTAATCTTTTACTCAACGGTATTTAACCATTCATCTAACTGACATAAGTGACACCTTTCTGCCAAATGCACAACTAGGCCATTAATCTTTTACTTTAGAATTGTTTTTACTCTAATAATTATTCATAATATCACTTAACTTTTTCAATTCATTATAAATTCTATAGTTTGCACACGTAGTGCCAATATGGTAATTTTCAAACTTATTATAATTTACGTGGGTTGCATACTCACCACCAATACGAAAATTCATATATAATTTCTTAGTTTTTGCACATAAAGTGCCCATACGGAATTTCATAAACTTATTATGAATTTCTTAGCTTTTTGCACACTTAGTGTCATTGGGTAATCATCATACATATATCAATAAATCATGAATCTATAATTACCGTAACATCTACGTACATAAAAAATGCACTCACCTGGATTGTCTCGCTATTATATAAAAATATAAATTTGATTAGTCAGGTACTTTGCCTTTTCCTTTTCTTTTACTTGACTCGGGAGCCTGATTTGGATCTACTCAAGCATCCAATAAAAATATGTACAAATATCAATTGTTAGTATATTTCCTAACAATTATACTTAAACATTACTCAAGAGTACATATTATTATATTTTCTATAACAATCTTAGTTTATCTTAACATTTCTGACTCAATAGTATCGATATCCCTACCATGGTATCGATACCACTATACTATAGTACCGATACCCTATTACGATACCGATACCTTAGTACGGTACCGATACCATTTCTGCATTCTGTTAACAATGGTATCGATACCATCATCATAGTATCGATACTCCCCTCTTGGTATAAATACCACTTGAATAGGTATCAATATTACTCAGTGAATTCTACTGATTTTAAGCCTATAGTATCGGTATTGTTCAAACAGTATCGATACCCTTACCCAAATTTTACATTTTTCAGCTCGAAACTTTCCCAAATTTAGTCAAATTTCTTTATGTTTACCCCCGACAATACTATTAAACTCTTCTCTACTTACCCTATTAACTTTCCTTCATTTAGTTTCTTAAAACATCTAAAATCTCTCAAGCTCACTTGAATCTAAGAATCACACCATATTTTGTAACTTGTTTTTAAACTCATCCAATACTTATAATCTCTTATTTATTTCATTGACAAGTCAAATCTACTAGTAAACATCAATAAATACTCATATCATAACATAACATATCATTACCAAACCCATTTCTTTAAATCTCCCATACTTCATCCATCTTTTAGGTTTACTCCTATTTAATCATTCCTTAAGCTTCTATAATATTCAATACTTCAAAAACCAACCAAAAATGGAAGAAGAAACTATCCACATAAAACTTCACCTTTACTATAGGAGAGAGCTTGCTCCACGAGAAAGAAGAAGAAAAGAGAAATAGCTTTTTGGCTAACCTCCTTTCCCCTTATTTAATACCTAATTAATGAAAATGAATTTAAAATTCATTTTCCTTTAAATGACCAAAATGCACTCTTTATTTATCTATTGATACAATTTAGTCTAACACTATTCCAAATCATTTTCTTATCTTTTATCATTTATTCAAATCAATCTTAAAATTTCAAATCTTTTCAATATAGTCCCTGATCTGATATTTGGGGTATTATAGGTACTCATTAGAAAGGTTCAAATTCTAAATCCTAAATTAGTATCCATATTAGGTCCTGACATCGATACCATATTTAGCTTCGAAATTTAAAAAAATAATTCAGTAGCAATGTTATTCATCTTGTATTGGTATTGTTCTAAGACAATAGCGATACTGACTGCACAATGTCGACATCAACAATGAACAAACTTTAAAATTATGCAATGTAGTTCTTGTATGATTAATGATGATTATAAAATGTTCAAAAGTATATTGATTTAAATTTTAATTATCATTTAGTCCCTAAAATTCATAAATTGATTAATTAATTATTGAGTAATCAAAATTAGCTTAAAAGTTATCTTTTATGACCAGTCGTGTAACATCGTCAACTCGATTTTTGATCAGACCGAGTTGAGGGTATTACAATTTAACTATTCTCAAATGATCATTTTGGTTATTTAATTTTCAAAAACAAAAATGTTCATTAAATTGATCAAACTGATACGTAATTAAGAAGATAAAACACATCGAAGATCATTGAACTATGCTCAAATGATCCTTTTGGTTACTTGATTTTTAAAAGTTATAAAATAAGTATTAAACTTTATCGAACTATTAAAAATGATTACTAAATTACTAAAAATTTTATAATAATTACGATTGTTATATCATTATAGTGATTATTTTGTAACAATTTAATAAATTTAATAATTATTTTATAATTTATGAAAATTTAATAACAGAAACGACCATTTAAACAAAATTCAATGATCTCTCATTTACTATATCCTTATTAACATAATTTATATAGAACTTCTAAAATTCTTTTGGAAACTCCATAGGGTGATATAAGATCAAGATATAGGGACTAAAAAAATTACATTAATGAAACTCATGCCACCAATGATGTAAGCATTATCATCCTACAGGCTGAAATGCGATTTTCTTTAATAATAATAATTAAGAAAAATAAATTATGAATTAGCTACCAACCGAATCTCATATCTGACAAATTCTATATCTATGATAATAAAAATATAACATAAAAAAACCCAGAAACAGGAACAATTTTTAAATGTTTCCTTATACTGTAATTTAATTATGAAACTTGTATAATACATGATTTTTTTATGCTTCAATTTGCTTCATATTGAAAATCTTATACACATACAATTCAAACCAATAATAGTAAAACTCCAGATTTTGCATACAATAATGAGATTTCCCCCCCCCCCCCCCCTTATTTCAGTAGTGCCAGAAGCAATCGAAATCCACCGGTGCAGCTAATGGCGTCGTATCGAATTTTTGAATCTCGAAATTCGATACGACTGAAGAGATTTCGTTGTTGATATCGGTGGTTAAACCGGTCTCTTGCGAGACGGTAACCATTGTTTCCCTCTCCGATTTCACGTTCAAACCGCGTTTTTCGAGTAAATCCCTGAAGATGGAATGTTCCTGCATTAAAACCGAGCCGCCCGGGATTTGAAGATTCGACGAGAAAGAAAGGGACTGAGGCGGGAAGAAAGTGTTCGAAGAAACCGGGAGGAGCAGTGGATTGTTGGTAAAATTATCGATCGGATTGGAGAAGCAGGGCACGTAAACGGATTCGGAAACAGGATTTTTCTTGGCATTAAAAACCGAAGAAGAATCCATTAATGGTGGAAGACCAGAACCAAAAGGGTTCAAAATTTCATTGTCAAATGAACTCATGTTGACGAGGCCTGAAATATGTGTTTTTTTTCCGGCAGAACTCTTTTGAAACACCCTGCAAATAACCCATTCATTCTGTCCAAAAAGAAGGGGAAAAAAAGATCCATAAAAAAAACATCTTTAAAAACGGGGAAATTCATGTTTTTGTTTTACCTTTGCAGTTTTAGGCAGATTGTGGACTGAATATTTGCCTTCAAGTCTATACTCATGCATCACCCAATTCATTTTTTCGCCTTTTGGTGCTCTTCCCTTGTAAAAAACCAGTGTTTTCTTCATTCCAACCAATGATTTCCCTCTGTAAATCTCTTTGTCTTTGCCTGTTGCCTTCCAATACCCAGAATCAGTGGCCCTATTTGTCCTCAAACCAGTTGGGTATTTCCTATCCCTCACGCAGAAAAAATACCATTCTTTCTCACCCATTTTCGCTTTCCCTGCAACCAAACAAACCATAAGGAAATCTTTCTCAACAAAATCCATGAAAACGTAACAATCACATAAAAATTCTTACAAGGCAATTCCCATGGCTCAGACTTGTTCAAATCCACCTCTCCAATGGCCTTAGCACTGAAGTTGATGTCCAAAACTTTCTTGTACAAGTAGTGAGAAATAAGCTCTTCATCTGTTGGATGAAACCTGAAACCCGGTGGCAAATCCATCTGATCATCTTCTTGAATGTTTGTCATTTCCTTGAACCCTAAAACTTGTGTTCAGAAATCTGCAAAATACCCACGAAATTTTCAGTTGAAAAATCCTTACACAAAAACTTGTCTGTATATGTGTGTGAACTGACCAGACAGCTGAAGTTATTATTGTCCGAAGCAAAAATAACAGATTGAAATGGAAAGTGATGAATAAAAGAGATATGAAGAAAGGTTATATAAAAGCGAAGGGAAGTTGGGGGAAAAGAAAATAAAGTTAAGAATTGAAAGAGGAAAAGGGAGAAGCAATGGAAGTAAAAGAAAGGAGTAAACCTGAAAGATAACAGAGGGTGTCTTAGAGAGAAAATGGCAGCAGGAGAGACAAAAGCCCCCTAAATAATGGTGTATGGAGATAAAGAAACGTGGTTTGTAAGGCAACTTGGTTGTTTTAGACCATCCTGCTAATATTATACCCAATAATATGAAAAATAAATTACTTAAGTATAAAACTATGATAGAAATACCATTAGAAACTATTGATCAATTTTATTGGTTACAATAAAATGTTGTTTTTATAAGAAATTTTGAGTTTAAATAATTACATGTAAGGTATGTACATTATCAATGATAAAAATATTTTGATCTCTCTAAATTATTAAAAAAGTTTAAAAATAATAAAATATCAAAATATAATATAATGATTAATGACACAAAATTAGAATTCAGTGGTTTCGCAAATTAATCCAATTTAGGTTTGAGTATTTACTTGACTCAAATGAAAATATATATATGTTAATTAAGTTTCCAAATATCATATAAGTATTCAAAATTTATTTGAAAAATTTCAAGTTAAGTCGAGTTAAATCAAATATATTTGTTTAAGTTTCTATTAAAATTTAATTATAATTATAAATATTTATAATATCATGGTACTAATTAGTTTTAATTTAACAAACCTTGCTAATGAATTTATCAAATATTCTCAATGATAGAAGGGAATGTTGTTCTTCCTAGAGGTCCTGAGTTTGAATGGCTGCATTTGTAGTATGTGTGCATGCATTGTCAATAAGTTAAGAAAGTTCTGAATATATACTACATTGTAATCATCCATGACTATTAAAAAAAACAACTCTTGCTAATCCTATATGATATACATATATTTTTTTCATATTCATTTTTGTACATGTAAGTAATATTTGTAACGTTATTCAATAAATCAAGTAATATTTGTAATGTTATTAAATAAATCAAATAACATATACAATAATGATATTGAATTTATATAACAATAATTTAAAAAAGATGGCACACGTTTTTTAAATTCTCTAGATGCACATTAGCGGGTCTAATGAGTGTTGAGGTTTCATAGTCGTCTTCATTTTTCTTGCTTGGATTTGGATGGGTTGCTTTGGGTATCATGCTTTGCTTGTCTTTTTGAGGGTTAGGTTTTGTTTAGGCTTCAATTTCATGAACGTAGCTACAAAACTTGATTGGAAGAAACTGTTTGGGGGGGATCAGATTTTGAATTTCTTTCCTCCGATGCTTTGTAAAGGGGTTCCGATGGTCCAGCCTCCGCAAGCTGTAATTGATGAAGGGATTGTAGAGTGGAAGTATGTTGTGGTGGGGCAATTTATTGGGTCAGCTTCAAATCTTGGAGCTATGCAACGGATTATTGAAACACTCTTGGGAAAATCCTTGTCGGTAAATGTTAGTATGACTAGATCAAATCTATTCGTTTTCTTTTTTAGTAATGCAATTATGAGGGATTGGTTTCTTAAAAACGGCCTTAGCACGTCCAAAACAAGCCTATTATTCTTAGAAAATGAGAACTGAGTTTGAAAAAAACTGAAGTTCGATATTTAAAAAATTTCAGTATGGATTCATCTGTTCAGTGTTCCACTGGAGCTTTACTCTAAGCGTGGCTTGAGCTACATAGAAAGATAGTCAGTGTTCCATTGTATATGTATTTTATCACTACGATAAAAGAATGATTGTATTTTGCGAAGGTGTGTATGGAGATTGGGGTTGGGGATAATGTTCCTCAAACAGTGAAGGTGGTCTTGAAGGATGGCTCGTCAATTTAAATTTCTGTTGTAGTTCCTCGAATGCCTTATTTCTATTCTCATTGTAAATTTTTTGGGCACAATGATAAGATTTGTATGGATAAGCCGAAGCAACAGGTGAAGAATGACACTCATGTTTGGAAGATGAAGGATGTGGTTGTGGATGTTTCTCCTTGTTTTGTGGAGGGTGAGTCTCAGGGGTTAAAGATCAAGCAATTGTAGGTAATAAATGTGTTATTCAGGAGGTTACTGATCCTATCATTACTCATGTTCCAGTTCAAGGTGTTGTTGAGGTGGTTCATAATATTGCTTATTATGGAATGGGGAATATTGCTTCTACTTCAGTTGAAAGTGATGAACTAGTGGTTAATAATTTGGGTACTGAGGCTTTGAGTGAGAATATGGTAGTGGATGTTTTGGAAACTTTAGGTGGTGTAAATGACTAGGAAATGGTTTTGCAATAAGAAGAAGATTACATTAAGGATTTTCGTACTTTACAAGCTTACATGTTGCAGAGAAAGAAATCTAAGAGTAGGTCTAAATAGAAGAAGGTTGTTCGGGGTTCATCAAATAGGTTTGAAGTTTTATAGGGTTTGGAACCTTTGGATAGTCCAAGGAAGACTCGTGCAACTTCAATGGGGGGGTTTTTGTGTTGTTGAATAAGCTAAAGGCTAGGAAGAAAGAACATATGGACAAAGTTAAGGTGGCTTCCGAGGCTGCTGTCGAGGTAGGGGGTATGGTTGTTCCTTTACAATGTTACTGTTTTTTTGGAATGTTAGGGACTTTAATAGTTCCCTAAAGGAAACTAAAGTGATTAATATGTTGAATTTGTTTGATGGAGTCTCAAATTAGGATACATAATGTTGATACTCTTGTTTTTAAGTTTTATGTGGATTGAAATTACTGTGCAAATTATGATCATGTTGATAATGTAAGAACTCATGTGTTATTATAGATTCTGACCAAGCTATTTCAATGCTTGGTATAATATTGGGTAAGAAGGTTATTACCACTACAATTTATGGCTGTAATATGGGGCAAGATAAGAGTGGTCTTTGGACTCACCTCGAAGAGTTAGAGGTGGTTGTTGGTGATATTGCTTGGGTGATTGGGGGGACTTCAATATTATTTTGAATGTAGAAGAGAGTTCTGATTTTGGTAAAGTGAGACCTCATCTATTTTCAAGTCCCTTATTCACTTGGTCTAACAAGAAAGATGAAGGTTTTTTGGCTCGAAAGCTTGATCGAGTGTTAGTTAATGCTCAATGGATGACTTCTTTTTCCAGTTCTTTTTTTTTTAATTTAAAGCCCAAGGAGTTTCATATCACTGTCCTAGCTTGGCTTGGTTTCATAAAGATATTCAAGCCAATAAGCCTAAACCATTTAAGTTTTTTAATTGTCTGATTTTCAGGATATTGTGAGGGTTTCGTGGTAAGAGGAAGCTTCTGGTAATGCAATGCAAAGATTGTTTTGTAAGTTAAAGAGGCTTAAGCTTAAGCTTATGGAGCTTAACAAGATGCATTATTATGATATTTCTATTAGATTTGAGGCTAAAAGATTGGAGCTAGAGTGGCTTCAAGTCTATAAGCTTACTATGTTGACCATACTAGATTAGGTGAGGGGAGTTTGGTGCAAGTTGAGTTATTGGAGTTGGAAAAGGCTAAAGCCAAATTTTATAAGCAACGTGCCAAAACTCAATGGGTTTAGGATGGTGATTTGGGTACTCTATTTTTTTCATTCTATTATCGAGTGGATTAGGAAGAAGAATATTATTTGAATAATGAAAGATGAAGATGGTAATAAGCTCTAGACTTTTAAAGATATGTCTGCAGAGATGGTTCATTTTTATACCAATATCATTGGGACTATTGATTCGAGTGTTAAAGGTTGTTATATTGATGATCTTAAGGGGTTGTTGAATTATTTGTTGCTTGATGAGGTGGTGGAGAATTTAGGCAGGGAGGTTTCAGATATTGAGATTAAGGAAGACTTGTTTCGACAGGGCAATGATAAAAACCCAGGCTTGAGTTTTCACACGACCTGGTTTTTATGGTTTTTTAGGATATCATTAAAAAGGATTTTTTGAATGTTGTGAGGTATTTGTTTTTTGGGTCTTGGTTACTTTTAGCCTTTAATGCTACAACCATTGCACTTATTCCAAAGGCTTTGAATTCTTGTATGGTTCGGGAGTTTAGGTCAATTTTGTGTTGCTCAGTTGTATATAAAACTATCTCTATAATCATGTAAGTAGGATTGCTGGTTATTTCTCAGGTATGATCTCGATGAGTTAATATGCATTTTTCAAAGGTATGAGCATAGTGGACAACACTTTGCTTGCTTAGGAGATGGTGAGAGGGTATGTGAAGAAGTCTATGTCATCTCGTTGTGATGTTAAGATTGATTTACAAAAGGCTTTTGATTATATAAATTGGGATTTCTTATTGACATTGCTTAAAGCTTTGGGACTGCATAAGAATTTTCATGGTTGGATCAAGGTCTGTGTTACTACCCATAGGTTCTCAATTTTCTTCAACGGTAGATTGGTAGGTTATTTTAGGGGTGAAAGAGGGATAAAACAAGGTGACCCTCTTTAATCTTATTTGTTTATGATGGTGATGAATGTGTTGTATGCTTTGTTAAATGTTGTTATTGTTAATGGTGTGTTTAGGTTTCATCCAAAGTGTAAAAGGGTTCCTTTAACTCATCTATACTTTGTTAATAACTTGTTAATATTTTGCCATGGCTCTTTAGATGTTGTCTTGGGAATTCTAAGTGTTTTGGAACTGTTCTATGAGATGGTTAGTCTTAAATTAAATGTTGCTAAGACATAGCTATTTGTTGGTGGTCTTTCTGAGAGTGAAGTTGAGCGAATTTATAATGCCACAAGGTTTACGAGGTGTTGTTTGCTTGTTAGGTATCTTGGGTGTACCTTTAGCCGCAATGAAGCTTACTTATAAGGATTGTTTTTCTTTGTTGGATAAGATTAGGGACAAGTTAGCTAAATGGTTTAATAGAAAGCTTAGCTATGGGGTTGACTGCAGTTGATTAAGGTTGTGTTGTTTAGTATTTTCAACTATTAGATAACTATTGGAGCAGGCAACTTGTGTTACCAAAGGTTGTGATCCTTCAAATCGAGAAGATTTGTATGAGATTTTTTTGGAAGGGGCAAGATGTTTCTACTAGAGGAGCGCAAGTGA